AGTGAGAGAGAGGGGGGGGACGGGGGGGGGGTTGAGAGGAGAGAGAGAGAGAGCCCGTCACAGTCGGCCCTTTTTAGCTGGGAGAAAAGCACTTCTGTAACTTCAGGTTTCAGGCAGGAATAATTTGAACTTCAGGCCAGCTTGAACCACATAGTGAGATCCTGTTATCATCTGTCTGAAATGAGAAGATGATTTTTTACTTTTAGGCTAGTTTAGGGAGAGAGAATTTTTTTTACCTTTTGCTGTGCACTGTGCCTGTCAGCCACAGGTCACAGTTGGCCAGCATGATGTCAGGGACCATGCAGGGCTATACAGTCCCCCGTTACCTGTGCAGACATGTGGGATCTAGAGTTATCTAGAGTATTTGGGTTCTCATTGAAGCAAACCACCTGATACTTGGTGGTTCCAAACAACCTGCTATGGTATTTGTGTAGAATAGTATTTGAATAGAGTGTCACTGTGTAGTAGAGGCTAGCCTCAAACTCCGACCGATCTGGCTCAGTTTCCCCAGTGTTAGGGTTACTGCTGTGATCCACCACATCTGGCCCAGCATGATGTTCTGACTCACTGTGGTTTCTCAATATGTGGGTGTCCCAGGTGACTTCAGCTGCCATCCTCTGGGCTAGGCTGGCTTTGTGTTGTGTCCCCATGTGGGGACATCTTTTGTCTGTATGTGAGAGTTGGGGCCCTTCATGTGCCTGCTGAACTGAACTGTTAAGACCTTGTGTGAGAAGATGTAAAGCAGAGGCTGTCCAGTTAGGGCGTCTCACTTTGTCACAGGGTCTCTCGTAAGCCATGCTGGTCTTGAACTTTGAACTATTGTTTCTGCTTGCCTCCCTTCCCCCCCTTGCTAGGATTATAGACATGTACTACCATTCCCTGATTTTTATTGCGGACGGAACCCAAGGCTTTGTGTATGCCAGGTGTATGCATTGCTCATTCTTGTAATGCCAGGTATTATAAATGGTGAGATTACAAGAGTGAATTGAGGCAGAGGATTACCTCAGACTACATTTTGTTTTATATAGACTCTCCTCACTGAGCCACGTCTCTAGCCACATTTCCCCCTTTACTCTGACTGTTGTACTTAGGGGAAAGGGTGGCCCTACTTTGATACATGGGAAGGGTTTCCAGGCAACTGGAGTGCCATTCCCACCCCAGTCATGGACTTGGACATGGGGTGGGAACCTTCAGGGATGTTGTATAGACCATGTAGATGCTGATGTCTGTGGGCATGGGTTTGGGCATGTGGTCAGTGAAGGATTAGTACACCCTAAGTGGTGTCAAGGCAGCCAGTAAGTGGTGTGCTAGGGCCTTGTGTGGGAAAATGGTGAGGATAGGGGAGGGCAGGGAGGGCTGTTGAGTATCCTTGTCCAATCCTGACCACTTTTTCCTTCTCTTTGACAAAGGAAAATTCACGTAACTAAAAATTAACCATTAACCATCTCAAAGCTCATAGTCCAGTGGCCTTTGGCATAGTCACAGTGTTGTGTGGTCTCGTTCTGAGAGACTTTCATCACCCCAAGGAAACCCCAATCCCATGGGACTTGGTGGTACATTCATGTAGATCCCAGCAAAGGGGAAGATGAGGCTGGAGAATCACAGCTATGAGTTTAGCCTAGGGTTTATACATCATGCCTCTCAACAAAACAACAGCCACCACCACCACCAAAGTGTAAGTTAAGAAATCCTGTACCCATCGACAGTTTCCCCCACTCCTCCCGTCCTCCTCCCAGCAGCAGCTAATCACGTCCTGTCTCCGTGGATCTCTGTGATCTGGAGTTTTCACACAAATAGATGAGCCAGCTGCCCACCTGCCCCAGGTGTTTCTCTGCCTATTCATTTCTTACGTTTGTTTATTGTACGTGTGTGTGTGTGTGTGTGTGTGTGTGTGTGTGTGTGTGTGTGTGTGTGTGTGTGTTTGCTTCATGCCATGATGGCTGTTTGGACATCAAAGGACAGCTTGCAAGAGTTGGTTTTCCTTTTCCACTGTTTGGATCCTAAGAGTCAAAGTCAGGTTGCCAGGCTTGGAGGCAAGCATCTTCCCTGATGAAGCATATTTCTGGTTCTAATGGTTTTTGAAAGGATTTCATATCACAGGCCGGCTTTGAATCACTGTGTAGCTGAGGGTTACTTAAACTCCTGATTCCTCTTCTGTCTCCCGAGTGCTGGGATTAAAGACACGCAGAACCACACCTGAAGTGATGTTTTGCTTTTTCATTTTCTCTTTAGATACAGTTATACACTGTATGTCCAAGTGGTTTGGACTCACTGTAATCTGTGCTTGGAAAGCTGGAGAAGTCCCCTTTTCTTCAGCTTTCCAAGTTCTGGGAATATCAGAGTGAGGGGCTACAGGTGGCTGTATAGTTGATATTTGTGGTTGGCCTTTTCTTGAACACACAGTGTTTTCCATGGTCATTGAGCTACAGTGTGTGCCACTGCTTTGTTCTGTTTTATAGCTCAGCAATAGCCCATTGTGTGGGCTAACGACCTCTTGTTTATTCATTTCCCAGTTACTAGGCCGTAGGGCTATTTCCATTGGCTGTGTTCATTTCTACAGGTGGTAGAAGTTAAACTACATAGACCTCAAATCTGAGCTGAGATCTATCTATCTATATCTAGATCTCTCTTTTTTGATTCAGAGTATCATTCCATAGCCTGTGTGGACCCAGAATTCACTGTTTAGTCTGTGCTGGCCTTGAACTCTCTCAATAGGCCTCCTTAACGTCTCAGTTCTGGGATTCTAGGCCTGTCACGGGTGTTAACTAATGTGTGTGTGTGTGTGCATGAATGGAGGCCAGAGGACAACTTTGGGTGTGGTGTCATTCCTCAGATGTACTGAGGCCTGAACTCAAGTGTCTGGGATGACAAGTGTGCTATCATGCCTGGCTTTTTTTTTTTTTTTTACGTGCGGTCTGGGGATGGAACTCAGGACTTCAGGCTAATAAATATTTCAACTGAGTTATCTTCCAGACATCTTTTAGAAACATTTATATATATTCGTGTTTTGTGTACGTGTATGTCTGTGCACCATATGAATGCTTGGTTCTCATGGAGGCCAGAAGATGGCATCAGATCTCCTGGGGCTGGAGTTACAAATGGTTATGAACTACCACATGGATGCTAGGAATCAAATCAGACGTGGGTCTCTTCTGG